GAAAAACTGGGAAACGCACTTGGGGGCAATTTGGAGCATCGGTTTCCATTTATGGCGGGGTGGCTTGAGGAGGGGGACAGGAACCAGGCCAGGGTGAGACTTAACAGATTCTAGATTTAAAGCTTTCGTGACTGCAAGAATCCATACTCTTTGGTTCTATTCGGTAAAGTCACATAGGTAAAAAATAAAACAAAAATCACGACGTTTCGGCCACAACACAAGCGGCCTTCATCAGGTGAAGGGATCAAGCTGTCTCGAGGACAGCACTGGAGTGAAACACAGCCACGCTCAGACCGCGAACCTTTAAGCTGTGTGCGAGCAAACAAGGTGTCCTGACAAAGGAATTAGCATAAAAATCAGCATTTGATTGGCCGATTATAGAAAAGAGGTGGTGTACGTGCCGGTGGACTTGCCGTTTGGCGCAGAAGGGGGGGGGGAGTTTACCTATTGATGGTGTGAAAAGGGAATTTATAAGAGCTGCGAAAGTTTGGGGTACCACTACTTGAAAAATATACTGTACCATTGAAATTAGTTTAATGTTTAGTTCGATTTAGAACATCTTTCCAATGGTTGCTTAATTTGAAACCATCTTCTCGGTTGAAATTGTGTCTGTGTTTGTAGATCTGAATTGCCTCGTGAACAAATCTCTGATAAAAACCCGTGGGTTTGCAAAGAACCTTGGTATCGGAGAAAATTATATCGTGATCACCCACAGCGTTGTAACAGTGATCAGCCACGGCAGAAGAATTCGTTTTGCCGTGTTTCAAATCTGATTTGTGCTCGCGAATTCGGTCAGAGACATATCGCTTTGTCTCCCCGATATAGCAATCACCGCAGGTACAACTCAATTTGTAAACCCCGGGGTACTGTAAGTCAGGAATGACATCCTTCACGGATGGGATCAGATCACGAATGTTGTGTACTGTATTGAACCGGACCTGGATCTTGTGTTTGTTTAGAATTTTGGAAATCTTTTTAGTAACGCCTGCTATATATGGTAGTGTGATGGTTTTGACCGGAGTATCAAGTGGTTGTTTCTGTATGGAGGGAGAAACAGCTTGGCGGATGGTACGGTCAGAGTAACCATTCCTTTTGAGGGCCAGGTGTACATGTTTTAATTCACTGGTCAGGTGGTGTTGGTCCGAAATGCAATGAGCCCTATGGTATAAAGTTTTGATGAGAAAATTATTTTGGGCTGGGTGGTGGTGAGAATCAGGTTTCAAGTAGGAATCTGTTTGGGTGGGTTTCCTGTAGACAGAATGCCCCAATGAGCCATCAGGTCTCCTCTCAAACAGAACATCTAAGAATGGTAGCTTGCCATCTTTCTCCAATTCCATGGTGAATTTGATGGCGGGATGTCTGGAATTGATGTGGTGTAGGAAAAAGTTCAGAGCTGGGAGGCCATGTGGCCAAATGACGAAAGTGTCATCCACATATCTCTTCCACAGAGAAGGTCTGAGGGTGGAAGTCTGGATGGCGTCTGATTCAAATTTCTCCATGAAAATATTGGCTATCACTGGTGACAAGGGGGATCCCATGGGGGTACCCTCATTTTGTTTGTAGAAGGAGCCATTCCAAGTAAAGTAGGTATTGTTGAGGCAGTGCCTAACCAGTGCAGGTGTGTCGGAGTCTAGTCCATGTTGGACCAAATTTTCAATTATTTCAATGGTATCAGGTACTGGGACCTTGGTGAACAAAGAGACCACATCGAAGCTGACAAGGATATCGTCAGGGGACAGTACAACGTCTTTGACCATAGAGACCAATTGGGCTGAGTTAAGTACTGCTGAGGCGGTCTTGCCAGTGAAAGGCAGCAAGGTATCTGACAGAAAACGGGCTAGTCTATAGGTAGGTGAGTTGATCATGGATACGATGGGTCGTAGTGGGGTGGCTTCTTTATGAATCTTGGGAAGACCATAGAATCTAGGGGGTCTTGCAGCAGAAGGTTTTAGGGAGGGACGTTTAGTTGGGTCGATTAGGGAGGTCGAACTTGTGATGATCTTGTTGGTTTTTATCGCTAGGCTATTGGTAGGGTCATTTTTTATTTTTGAGTAACATCCATCGTTGAGCAGATTCTGGATTTTGTTGTTGTATGAATCTTTATCCATAACAGTTGTGTTGCCTTTATCGGCTGAGAGGATGATTATATCACTTCTGTTTTTTAAATTCGCGAGTTTACAACTCGCGGTTTACAAATTGAGTTGTACCTGCGGTGATTGCTATATCGGGGAGACAAAGCGACATGTCTCTGACCGAATTCGCGAGCACAAATCAGATTTGAAACACGGCAAAACGAATTCTTCTGCCGTGGCTGATCACTGTTACAACGCTGTGGGTGATCACGATATAATTTTCTCCGATACCAAGGTTCTTTGCAAACCCACAGGTCTTTATCAGAGATTTGTTCACGAGGCAATTCAGATCTACAAACACAGACACAATTTCAACCGAGAAGATGGTTTCAAATTAAGCAACCATTGGAAAGATGTTCTAAATCGAACTAAACATTAAACTAATTTCAATGGTACAGTATATTTTTCAAGTAGTGGTACCCCAAACTTGCGCAGCTCTTATAAATTCCCTTTTCACACCATCAATAGGTAAACTCCCCCCCCCCCCCTTCCGCGCCAAACGGCAAGTCCACCGGCACGTACACCACCTCTTTTCTAAAATCGGCCAATCAAATGCTAATTTTTATGCTAATTCCTTTGTCAGGACACCTTGTTTGCTCGCACACAGCTTAAAGGTCCGCGGTCTGAGCGTGGCTGTGTTTCACTCCAGTGCTGTCCTCGAGACAGCCTGATCCCTTCACCTGATGAAGGCCGCTTGTGTTGTGGCCAAAACGTCGTGATTTTTGTTGTTTTATTTTTTACCTACGTGACTTTACCGAATAGAACCAAAGAGTACTTAACAGATTGCTTAATAAATCAGAACATACACACACACGTACACCGGACAAACAATTGCCCCCACAGCAAAGAGCAAAATCAAAGGAATTCTGGTCCTTTGTAAGAAGGTGGGCAGAGGGGAGAGAATTTCACATGTAAGCAAGGACACAGATCATGCAACTCAGTTCTGCGAGCGGCAGGCTTCGGGAATCTGCCCCTGTGACAGGCACATCGATAGGGAGCTGCATCAGCAGAAGCCATGAGTCGCGGAGTTTGTCTTTTGTTTTTCGTTTTTTTATTGTTTCTTTCACCATTGAGAGCATAACCAGCGCAATCGAGCAAGAGTGTCGGCACCGTCGACCTGCGGACGCGCTGCAAGCGCAATAGTGCCTCGCCAGAGAGCACCAAGCAAGAGGGTCGGCACAGTCGATCTGCGGACGCACTGTGAGCGCAATCGTGCATCGCCAGAGAGCACCGAGCAAGAGTACCAGCCCCGGCGACCGGCGGACGAGCTGCGAGCGCGATCGAGCACCTTCAAAGACAAGGGTCGTGCTGACTCCGCTCACATCTAGCAGCGGAGGAGCCAGCAGCCTGCCGCCGAGCGAGAGAGACAGAGAGCCGTGTGTATGACAGGCCCACACACACCCACAACGCATCGCCCAGCAGGGGACCAAGGCATAATCGGTACGAGGAACGCCCCACCTCGGCGTCTGCTTAACGCAAAGAGTTGAGCAAGGAGACAATACACCAACACACACATAACGCACATATCGGGACTAATAAGAGTACTCCAAAAGTTATCCTTGTGTTTCGCCCATTGAGTTACGTGGATATGGTTGTGAGAAGTATTTTAGTCACTTTTTGTTAAGTGCATAACTGTACCAATGAATTCATTGATGAAACTAAACATTTAGAAACATCTATGTTACAAATCTACACATTCACAGGGAGACTATTGTGTTGAAATCTGTCTTTTGATCACAGAATCTTGCCCACAAATTTACTGAAGCCTTAGCCAATTGATAACATTTGCTAGACAAGCAGGCACACTGCCGCACACCATTGTTCCAAGACATTTCGTTAATTCCATAATCTTACCAATGAATTCATTGAGGTCTACTTTTGCTTTCAGGACGTATTTCTTTATTGCTGTTCGTATGAATATTGTCACATTCATTTTTAAGGACTTTTTCCTATCGCCATATATGCTCGCTTTACTATGAGGAATTAACCGATTGTTCTGTTACCCAGGTTAACAAACGTAATCATTGCGAGTTAAATGTACGGATCAATGAGGAGGACATCTCCAGGAGTACTGTGTTGACATTCCTAGCATAATAATTTGCATATTAGAGTGTTATGTTTTTGTTTAGAAATTAAAGTTGCTTAACACAGAAGAGTCTGAGTGGTGCCTTCCTAAGTTCATGTGTAATAATCTTGATTATAAGAACTGTATCCTGCGGTGAGATCTGAATTTTGAGACCTGACATAAACACACTAAGACATAATCAGTCAAAGTTAAAGTGAAAATCATTGTATTATCCTGATTGATAATACAACCCTAGATAACGAAGCCGAGCTTAATCAGCATACCTCATACTTACATCACACTTGCATAACTTCACGCAATTCATTGTATTATCCCGATAGACAACGAGACAGAGCCTAATTATCATAATTGCATATATTAGCATAATGGTATACACTTGCACAATTTAATGCAATTACACCTCCTAATTAGCATAAATAATTTGCATAATCACATAAATTAAGAAAATTTGGTATAATTACACATTTCTCAATTTTTATTTACTTTGTATTCTATTTATTATTTTTTCAAGACCCAATATATACAACACCCTCCGGGGCCTCTGGAACTAGCTTATTAATTAAAATTTTCCGTCATAGTTTAGCGCACCCGTCCAGAGCCCCCTTTTGGCCACTGTGGTGGTCACAAACGCCATGAGGGGAAAGGCCAATCGGAATTGGCCCTCCCCCCACAGCACTGCCCACGACAGCGTTGCCCGTCCGACACAACGAGAAGGTAGGGGGTTGTTTTGCCGGACAACGCGCGCACACCAACACACGCATACACGCACGTGTGCATGGCACCTTGCTCGCTGAAGCAGTGTAGACGGCCCCTGCCGGCACGTGCCAACGCCCGCAGAGCCTCGGCCGTCTCCGCGCCGCTGGCGTAGCAGGCGGGGCCGCTGGTGCCGCCACCACCGCTGCCACTTCCCCCCGCGCTGAAGAGGCAGGCGTGCAGCCGCACCTCCTGGCCCAGGTTGGCCTCCTCCACGTAGCCGCACACGGCCACCTGCATTGCCACAACAGTCGACACGGGGTGCCATTATTCGCAAGAGGTTTCATCGGCGCATTGTTGTTGTTGATTTAATTTGATATTTATCTAGAGAGTGCCTTAACTCGAGGTGCTTGCACGTCTTTTAAAAAGCGGTCACGACAACGGTAGTGGTTAAGATGGCAAAGAGGCGGTGTGAGGGGGGCCGAGGAGTGAGTGAGTGACCGCAACGGAGAACACGTGGGGGGTCACTAAAGGGCAGCAGGGGAGGGACGGCAAGGAGTGGAGGGGCGAGGGGAGCAAAGAGGAAGGGAATGGGCGATGATAGAGAAGAGGTGAGGCTTTGAGAGAGGAACGTAAGAGGGTTAAGGAGGGGGACTGCTCAACGTGCAGGGGAAGTTTATTAGTATTGTTATTTTTATTCCCCAAGAAAGCCTCACCGAGTCTCGAGATGATTTTTTTCAGAACGGTCCTGCCATGTGTAATCTCAAGTGAGTGATTTGTAATAAATTTTACAGCATTTCAGATGTTTTTTTGGCCAATACCCATGACAGATGTTTTATAGCCATTAGAGGAATTAAGAAATCCGAAGAATACCCATGCAGAACCGGGGGAGAAAGAACGTACAGAGAGAACGTACAGAGTGAACGTACAGTCACCTTCGCTCACTGGTTTCCGCTGCTCACTCAAAACTCCAACTTACCCCCACGACCTCCCTTAATCTCCCCCTAATAACCGCCACAGCCTTTACTGTCCCCTCTTCATATTCTCATTCAATTCATTCATCATCATCATTTACCGTAATCAATTTCCCTTTCACCGAATTCATCATCATCACAGATTCGGCACCATTGCTTCCTCTCATCTATTTCAATCACCTCATCTCCACCGTTACATTCACATACACACACATGTTGTACCATTATTAATTATCTGTAAAGCGTCTCAGTTAAGGCAATCCATGAATTACATTAAGAAAAGAAGATAAGATACAAATTCCACACAGAAAGCTTCCCAACTTAGGAATCGAACCCAGATCCTTATTGCTGTGAGGCACGAGTGCTATCACTGTGCCACCTCGCATGGAGTCAAACTGCGCACTTCACCTACTGGTGCCACCCAAGTGCTGGATTACAATAAAGGTAATTTTTTGTTGGATTAGATCGCGTAATTATAGATGTAGCTTCTTTGGTTCTTTCGGTAAAGTCACGTAGAATGAGAATAAAATAATAAATTGATAAAATAAAATAACACAATAATATTCTCACGACGTTTCGGCCACAACACAAGCGGACTTCATCAGGTGAAGGGACGAGACTGTCTGGTAGGACAGCGCTGGAGTGAAAGAGCCACGTTCAGATCACGGCCTTTAAGCTGTGTGAGAGTAACAAAGCGCCTTGACAAATGAATTAGCATATAATTTAGCATTGAAATGGCTGAATGATTAGCTTGTGACTGGTCACAGAAATAGCTATGTTAAAAGTTAAAGTATACACATCCGCAGAGGCACCCCTTGATAAAGGAATTAGCATAGAATTTAGCATTGAAATGGCTAAGTTAAAGCATACACATCCGCAGAGGCACCCCTTGACAAAGGAATTAGGATAGAATTTAGCATTGAAATAGCTGAGTGATTAGCTTGTAACTGGTCACAGAAATAGCTACGTTAAAGTCAGAGCATACACATTCACCGAGGCACTTAGTACAAATCAAACAGGAGAATTTAGCATTGAAATAACTAGGCGAATTTAGCATTGAAATAACTGAGTGATTAGCTAGTAACTGGTCACAGAAATGACTATGTTGAAGTCAAGGCCTACACATCTGAGCTATTCACAGTACTATATAGTGAATTAATAAAAAACTAAAATATAAATTACCTTAATGTTATCAATAAACTCTATATTCTCCAATCAGCTAAGCTACCAACAATAAGTCGTTATATATCACAATGCTATATGGCGAAAAAATGGGTGGATTCTTACCCTCAACTTTAGCACCACGGATAGCTACGGGCCCCGTTCAGACGGACGAGTTCATCCATGGTCGGAACAGAGGAGGGGGAGAGAAACAGCTGCGAGGCGCTATTATACTCCATGTTGTAAACCATACCATTAACCGTGGTGTGAGAGGTATTAAGAGTCAATGCTGGCGAAAGAGCTGCGGTCTGAAGGTCATCGTAAAAATACAATTAATTAAGAACAGAAATGGTTTAAAACATCTTTCCAGTGGTTACTAAGCCAGAATCCATCTTCTCGGTTGAAATTGTCTCTGTGCTTGTATATGTGAATGGCCTCATGAACGAATCTCTCATGGTAGCCGGTTGGTTTGCAAAGAACCTCCGTCTTGGAGAAGTCAATGTCATGTGAGCCCACTGAATTATAACAGTGATCTGCCACGGCAGAGGAGTTCGTCCTACCATGTTTCAAGTCTGCTTTATGTTCGCGGATGCGGTCCGAGATATGTCGTTTGGTTTCTCCAATGTAGCTACTACCACAGAGGCACTTTAGTTTGTAAACGCCCGGGTACTGTATGTCTGGAACAGCATCTTTTACAGATGGAACTAAATCACGGATTTTATGTACTGTGTTGAATCGGACCTGGATCTTGTGTTTATTCAGGATTTTTATTATATGCTAATTCCTTTGTCAAGGCGCTTTGTTCCTCTCACACAGCTTAAAGGCCGTGATCTGAACGTGGCTCTTTCACTCCAGCGCTGTTCTACCAGACAGTCTTGTCCCTTCACCTGATGAAGGCCGCTTGTGTTGTGGCCGAAACGTCGTGAGAATATTATTGTGTTATTTTATTTTATCAATTTATTATTTTATTCTCATTCTACGTGACTTTACCGAAAGAACCAAAGAAGATGAATCATTGCAGTCACGAAAGCTTTAAATCGAAATATAGATGTAGCGTTAAAGCCGCCACCACCCGACAAACAATTAGTAAGGTTTGTCACGTGAACAAAACGTGCGGATTAGTGACTAGTTCAGCTCGGACGTCGCCCGGGGTCCACCAAGGTCCGCGTCCCCCAATCGAGTAACCCCGGTGGATTGGCTCGAAAAATGTGCTACCAGAAAGCAGCAGCAGCTACGACGCCATCAGGAAACAACAAAGTGGCCAAATTTTGAAAATGACGAAGAGGTTGAGAATGGCGAATGAGGAAATCGTAGTCAGAGACGTGGAATGTGAGAACGCCGTGGGCAACAGTGACGGTTAGAGCTGCTAAGAAAGGAAATGGAAAGATACCGGGTACACGTAACAGCATCCTCAGGACTGGCAGAAATGAGATGGACAGGAATGGTAGGGAGCTAAATGGGGGTGAAGTGATCTGGTCAAGGGAGGATAAAGCGCACACCAGAGAAGTTAGGGTTCTTGTTGAGCACAAAAGCCAAAGCGTCATTATTTGGACACAGACTGGTTAGTCCAAGAGTAATTGTAGCAAGATTTAATGAGCAACCCATAAAAATACGTCTGTCCAAATATACGCACCAACAATGGAGAGCGCAGAAGAGGATATTGAAGAGTTCCATGAAACGCTAGAAAGCACGTTAAAGGAACTGTCTCGGAAAGATACAAAGATGATTGCGGAAGACTCGGGCACCTCTGTGTGGAGATTGTATGCCTCCCACCCTGTTCTACACAGGCTTCCTCTGGGTCCCCCCGCTTTCCTCCCATAGCAAGCAACCCAACAACAAAAACATACTACATAACTGGGATTAGTCAAACAATCCCAATGCTGAAAAGTTACATCTGCAATTTGCTCAATTGCACATAAGCAACATTACCCCACTACTGAAAATGAGTGTTGAGAACTCGGCGACGTATTCCTGGATAATACAGTCGATCACCGATTATCCGGCGGCTTGGGGAGGGGTGCCAGATTTTGAAAAATCCAGGCTCACTCATCATCATTATTTAAAACAGCTTATTTTTGCATTCTTGGATGACATTATATTTTTAGCTGTTGTGGTGTCTATGTTTTTTTGTAGTGTTTTAAATTTGTTTGCTATGTGAAATTGGCATAAATAAACAAACAAATAGGCAAGTAATAAATATCCTTCTGTAAAACCTGACTATATTTACTGTACCGTACTAACCACTCCAATCTCGAAGACTCTGCATCATGGGGTGATGTATATACATGCAGTATATTCATTGTTTAAGTTGTATGTATGTAGTGTATAATGTAATGGAAAAATATTTGACACTGAAATCAAGCATAGCTCCTTTTTTTTGTCATGCACGTGGTGCCAAGCCGCCGGACTTGGTACAACCTTTGGAGCAGTTTTGCCGGTTTCGCCGGATCTCACCAGGACCGCCGGATAATTTTGGAAGCAGCCGGATAATCACGTGCTGGACAAATCGATAATCAAATGTAATAATAATAGCAACACGAATAACTAAATAAAAGACAGTTACCGCCGTACCAGATCCTGGTCGGGCACGCCGCTGGTGAAGACGTAGATGCCCTCAGGAGGCCCCTCAGGGTCCTCCAGTAGCAGGCGCAGTGCACCCAGTAAGTCCCGGCCACCCCCGCACCGCCACTCCAGCACCCAGCTGCCGTGAGATCCACAACCACGGCTGATGCTGCCGCGCACTTCACACGTCGGTGATCGCTCGCGGCCGGTCTCACGATTGGACGACCGATTATGTTGATAATAGTAGTAGGCTTTCGCGACCAATGTTATCCATAGTAAGACGTTTTTTTCGTGCATTAAATCGCATAGATATAAATGTGTCGTTAGACCCACCACCACCCAACACAGCCCATTTAGTAAGGTTTGTGACGTAAACAAAACATGGCAATTTGTTACTAGTTAGCACACTGGTGTGTTAGATAGAAAATTCTAGCTATAGTCTGATGAGGCTGGCTGTTGTTGTAATCACTGGCGAAACGTCATGCTCGAATTTTAAATGTTGAGGGAAAAACCGGAGAACCCGGAGAAAAATCCATGCGACCACGGGGAGAGTAAGATACAAACTCCAAATATACAGCAGGCGTCAAGGTCGGAATCGAACCCACAACCTCTTGTATACCAGGCGAGGTAGTCCACCATGGCGGCATGCTACCGCTGGGCCCCCGCGTCACCGCCCCCAACGCTTCCTCCCCACAGGAAGGGCGTTCAGAGCGCCCACACTGACGGTGTAAGTGGGGGCTCCCTTTGGCGAGGGACATGGTTAAGCGACAATTTCTTTATATATAATTGACAGACACAATTTGGTTGCGTAGAAGTAAAATATCAAAATCAACCTCTTCTAACAAAGGAATCAGTCAGGGTGACTCGAATCAGCGAACCTTCACCTCAGAGGCAAAGCGCTCGCATTAGAAAGCCGCAAATCAAGCGCATTGTGACGTCTGCCTCAGCTGTGTTTGAGGCGCGTGCGTGCGTGTGTGCGTGCGTGCGTGCATTTGACAGGAGCTCTCATTCTCCACTGCTTCTTCAAGGGAGCTGTTACTGATTTCAAGGCGCGTGTGCTGTGGACCCACCTCCAGGCCGCCTGCAGGTTTTCGGGGCTAGGGGGAACCGGCGAAGGACGAAAGGCTTGAATGTCCATCCCGAAGCTGTTGTGGGTAGCGCACACACACACACGGGCACGTCCATAATGTAGCTATCATCAATGCAATCAGTCTTGAAGCTCACGGCGTTAAGGCTGAAGAATTAAATGGGGTTTGATTTGTAACCGTGCAACACAGTAGCAGGAACTTTAATATTTAAATAGTTAAAACGAATAAGAAGTGTCCATAATAGAGGTTTTTTTTTTTGTGGGTTAGATCGTGTGAATATAAATGTGTCATTAAAACCGCCACCACTCGACAAAGCGAATTAGTAAGGTTTTTCAAGTAAACAAAACGTGCCAATTAGCTACTCGTTCAGCACACCGGTTTTGTGTTGGAGAATAAATTCACTACAATATTTACAATTCGAGTACCGTGACATGTCGCCAGTAATTACAACCAGCATCATCAGGCGACAGCCAGAGTTGTGGAGAAATTCTCCTCCTGTTTCGGTCTTAAACAGAGGGATAAATGTCATGTCATCACTTGTGAGACAATCAGGTGTTAAGGCCAGAAGGGGGGTTAATGTAGTCATATAAATTAAAATGGATATCTATTATTCGTTCGGTTATTCACGGTAAAAATTGATTACATAGGGGCCGTCCATAAATGACGTCACACACCTGGGGGGGGGGGGGGTCAGACATTTGTGACGATGTGTGACGAGGGGGGGGAGGTTGAGAAATGTGACGTCACATCAAAATGTGCAACTTTAAATCAATATAGACAACACGTTCTACTTAATTAGACTTTTTAATAAATGTTTTCTCCTACAACATCAGAGTGCAGCGCCACATTAAATACGCACTACAATGACAATAGTTTAAAGCGATTTTCAAAATGGAAATATGGTTTTGGGGGGGGGGGGCAGAGCTTTGTAACGTCATATTTGACACCGTGTGATGTTGGGGGGGGTTAAAAATCGTCCAAAATCGCGTGACGTCATTCATGGACGCCCCCATACATAATTATGTAATTAGCACATTATTTAGAATGTTTGGCTTTAAAATCTCACTTCCAGATTGGATTGCAACGTGAAGTTCAGGTTTAATGAATCTATGTTTTTAATGCCGTCAGGAGCCAATGTGTCCACATTGGCGTTTTTTTTGTCCACAATTGTAACATTTCAATTATATATGCAACGCCGCAGTAGGCGTTGCATATATAAAGAAAGGTAAACAAATCACCCAAACACGTAAATAAAACTAAACCATCCCCATCCTACCAGGCAAAGCACACTGAGGTATTAACTCATTTTTCAGAATCGACCTGACCACAAACTATAGCTCAACAAAGTGTCATAATTTGGAGATTTATAGCAGCAAAATTTTCTAAATAATTATCTCAATGCATGATTCTAAACGTGGAGAAATCAGGGTCGAGATCGAACCCCCGACCTCCTGCATACCAGGTGACGAGGATAACATCACAACCAACGTGGCGCCCCTGAAATAAACAAAACACATTCACGTTCAAATTGCATAATCTTATCTCGCATAGACTATTGTGATGTCTTACTCCCTGACGTGGCTAAGAAGGTGCTGATAAATTTGCAGCATGTTCAGAATGCGGCTGCTAGGGTGTTAACCAGAACACCTTCTTCACGTCGTATTACACCCGCTGTGGCCTCCCTGCACTGGCTTCCAGTTTCACATAGAATACAGCTTAAAATCCTATTGTTAACTTACAAAACCATAGCTTACATCATTGACATGCTGCACCCCCATATGTCCCCTCAAGGTCCCTAAGATCTGGGGGATGATGCAGATCTTCTCTCCATTCTCAGGTCGAGGCTTCTTTGCTCTATAGGTGACCGAGATTTTTCCCCATGTAGCCCCCAGGCGATGGAATGCTCTTCCACGATCTTTGAGTCTTTGGACATTTAAAAAATGCTTCTTAAAACCTATTTATATGCTTCCGCTTATTCGTTCACTCGGAGTGAGGGCGTTCACTCGGAGTGAGGGCGTTCACTCGGAGTGAGGGCGTTCACTCGGAGTGGGTTCGTTCACTCGGAGTGAGAGCGTTCACTCAGAGTGGGGGCGTTCACTCGAAGTGAGGGCGTTCACTCGGAGTGGATTCGTTCACTCGGAGTGAGGGCGTTCACTCGGAGTGGGGGCTTTTACTCGGAGTGAGGGTGTTCACTCAGAGTGGGGGCATTCATTCGGAGTGAGAGCGTTCACTCGGAGTGATCGAACTCACTCCGAGTGAACGCTCTCACTCCGAATGAATGAAGGCGTTCACTCGAAGTGGGTTCGTTAAACTCGGAGTGGGGGCGTTCACTCGGAGTGGGGCCATTCATTTACTCTGCGTGAGGAAACGAAGCTGCCGTGCCCCGCAGCTGCCACACGCAACACTAAAACAGCGGCGTGCACGGCACTTCACAGACATAACAAACTGTGTCAGAATCTGACATACGCATGCACAAGCCGTGTACAATGTCCCAAAAAAAAAGCCATCGATCCCGACCCCAATGCCTGCGGTATATTTGGAGTTTGCATCCTTTCTACCCGTGGTCGCGTGATTTTTCTCTGGGTTCACCGGTGTTTCCCTCCAAATTTATAATCAACGTGCGTTCAGAGTATTTGGCTGCTGTAAATTTCCACGCAATAAGCCACTTCATTGAAGCTATCATTTGTGGCCAGGTCGCTTATTAAAAAGAGCTGTATAGCCTTACCTGGGAAAATAGAAAAGTACAGTTTAAGTTTATATGCGTATCTGTGCGTGCGAGTGCGCGACCCACGTGATGATATTGAACGACTCTTTGCCAGTGAGCTGTGTTTGCAGTAGCAGACGCATGGAGTGCTGGACATGCACCAGGTAATTGGCATTCATCTCAGATAGGTCCACCAGCACTGCCAGCCTGTGCACACACACACACATATCACACACTGTTAATTTCCTGGGTATGTCTGAGAATATCAGATTCGCTTTGGCTGATCCAAAGCGTTTGACTAAAAGACAGAGGTATCCATAATATAAGTTTTTCTTAGATTAGATTGCCTAAATATAAACGTGTCTAGATTCAAAGCTTTCGTGACTGCAGGAATTACTCTTCGGTCCTTATGGTAAAGTCACGAAGAAAGAAATTAAATTATATAATAATAGAATACGACGTTTCTATTGCAACACAAGCAATAGTCATCAGGTACGAATGAATGTGAAAACAAACCTAGTAAACTTAGAAATATAATGCAATACAACACAGAGAGATAGCTAACATAACAGTCAACACCCTACCTGGTTGATTACGTTCTTCCAAAGATTGCTAAATTTGAGAGAGACAAAACACAGAGACGGAGACACATAGACAGACACACAAGCAGAGAGAGACTCACACAGAGATAAACAGAGAGAGACACACACATAGGCCTAGAGAAACAACGCCTATGCGTTGAGGCCTTAAATAGGGAGAGAGGGTGGGGTACGGGTGAGGGGCAGTTCAACACACTGGTATTCTGAACTAGTAACTAACGGGTAACTAATGGCACGTTTGTTTAACGAGGAATTTACATTTACGCGATCTCACCCAGAAAAAACCTCTTATGAATAATATTGGTCGCAAAAAGCCTACTGCTACTACGTGTTAACATCACGGAAAGATTTGTTTGCTGAGTGTACCTCAGAGGTGCATACAATTAAGCATGCTGTAATTAAGGGTCACTGGGGGACTGTCTAGAATTTGACATGCTTTGAAGCTTAGTCTTCAATTATGCCTTATAAATTTTAAGGGGAAGTTTGCTTCATGATGAACAACTGACATCAAAGCCTGGTCCTGTGGGTGGGATGGCTTTGTGTGACGACAGCTCTCATATACAAATAATAGTATTAAGCTACACGAGTCAACAGCATACAAAGCTCTAACATTCACCACTTCTAAATAAGCAGGGTGGCCCAAAAAATCAGGACATGTAGGGTTCTTTCAGTTATCTTAACACTGGCATTTAAAACATTGTAATTATTTATTATCTAAGTTAATATTTTACCTGGTGTAGACCAATCAGTTTCAAGGACAATGCATTTATTATCAGAGTATGTTTTTGTTTGCATTCTGACCACAAGTATTGTGGATAATGCAGACATGATTCCTCCTGAAAAGGTTTAGTTTTGTTGCCAGCAGAAAGGGTAAAAACTTATTCTTAATATTTTACCTGTTATCATTATATATTTTTTCGGTGAGGTCACCTCAAATCAAGCACTAAATTGACACAAAACATAATTGATGAATGTTCAAAGGTTACACACCTGTAATCTTAAAAAAATTAAAAAAGATCCAAAATTAATTTCCCAAGATAATTGATGCAGGCATTAATGTTTATGAAATTAAACAGCCAAATCTAATTTGTTAAAATAAATATAATAACCCGATGTGTGCTGACTTTGAGCCACCCTGTGGGCAAAGACAAAGCTCTCCTATATAGCCTTTAAAAGCCTGTTGGGGAAAGTGCTGTGAGCGAGCACCTTTGAAGGCTGGCACGGCACACGAGGAGGTGGGTAGCCAGCACCACGCCCGGCCGCCTTTGTATCCCAAGTGACGATATTTACACACCGCACTAGGTACTAATTTTAGGCTGAGGCGACCTACGGGAAGCCCATGACCGGCTCAGATAATCGTTACTGGTGTCGACCGTGAGCGGGAATCAAACTTGGGTCGGTGGATCTATGTATGTTTAACTTCTTTATTGGTTCTTTCGGTAAAGTCACGTAGAATGAGAATAAAATAATAAATTGATAAAATAAATAACACAATAATATTCTCACGACGTTTCGGCCACAACACAAGCGGCCTTCATTAGGTTAAGGGACGAGACTATCTGGTAGGACAGCGCTGGAGTGAAAGAGCCACGTTCAGATCACAACCTTTAAGCTGTGTGAGAGGAAACAAAGCGCCTTGACAAAGGAATTAGCATATAATTTAGCATTGAAATGGCCGAGTGATTAGCTTGTGACTGGTCACAGAAACAGCTATGTTAAAAATTAAAGCATACACATCCGCAGAGGCACCCCTTGATAAAGGAATTAGCATAGAATTTAGCATTGAAATAGCTAAGTTAAAGCATACACATCCGCAGAGGCACCCCTTGACAAAGGAATTAGCATAGAATTTAGCATTGAAATAGCTGAGTGATTAGCTTGTAACTGGTCACAGAAATAGCTACGTTAAAGTCAGAGCATACACATTCACCGAGGCACTTAGTACAAATCAAACAGGAGAATTTAGCATTGAAATAACTAGGCGAATTTAGCATTGAAATAACTGAGTGATTAGCTAGTGACTGGTCACAGAAATGACTATGTTGAAGTCAAGGCCTACACATCTGAGCTATTCACAGTACTATATAGTGAACCAATAAAAAACTAAAATATAAATTACCTTAATGTTATCAATAAACTCTATATTCTCCAATCAGCTAAGCTACCAACAATAAGTCGTTATATATCACAATGCTATATGGCGAAAAAAATGGGTGGATTCTTACCCTCAACTTTAGCACCACGGATAGCTACGGGCCCCGTTCAGACGGACGAGTTAATCTGTTCCTCTGTTCCGACCATGGATGAACTCGTCCGTCTGAACGGGGCCCGTAGCTATCCGTGGTGCTAAAGTTGAGGGTAAGAATCCACCCATTTTTTTTTTCGCCATATAGCATTGTGATATATAACGACTTATTGTTGGAGAATATAGAGTTTATTGATAACATTAAGGTAATTTATATTTTAGTTTTTTATTGGTTCACTATATAGTACTGTGAATAGCTCAGATGTGTAGGCCTTGACTTCAACATAGTCATTTCTGTGACCAGTCATTAGCTAATCACTCAGTTATTTCAATGCTAAATTCGCCTAGTTATTTCAATGCTAAATTCTCCTGTTTGATTTGTACTAAGTGCCTCGGTGAATGTGTATGCTCTGACTTTAACGTAGCTATTTCTGTGACCAGTTACAAGCTAATCACTCAGCTATTTCAATGCTAAATTCTATGCTAATTCCTGTGGACACTCCAGATCACGTGTCTATGGGGTCAACCAGAGTGCCATGGCCCGGGGCAACCCTGTCCCTGGGATGACACTCTCCCTCTCCCCCTTGTGGGAGCCCGCACTACACGCTGTGCGTGGTGCCCGCGCTATCCCAGCACTCACCAAGCCCCGCTAGGGCTGGTACTACACCCATCTACAGGGTGTAGGCGATGACGATGCATCGCACGCCGTGCGGTGCGAGAGTCGACCTCACACAGCAACCCACACGGTGCTGTCCGTGATGTAAGTACATCGCACGCCACGGCCCTCCCGGGCCCGCACCATAGTGACATCCCTGATGTCACCACATCTACCCATGCAATAAACGAAAGGAGACTTTGAAATAACTTTTTTCACCGCGGCCGTGCGTACCTCATCTCACACACTGTGCCCCAGATGCGACGACTCCCGGACGACAGCCAGCTGACGCGTTGCTCGTAGGTCCTCACGGCCTGGCCCAGCTGCTTCTGCGATGAGAGAGGCGTGTGCACACAAGAGCATTTGTGGCCCATAGCGGGCCAGGGCTCCCATCAGCCCAAATACGTCTCCCATCAGTCTCCGTGTTACAAAACTCTGGTGGGGTTTTACGCGCGCAAGCCTGTGTGTGTGTGTGGCAAGCGACCAAATTACCCGCTCACAATTTACTTCGGTGTTTGGGGTAATGGGTAAGAGGGCGATGGGTCATCAGTTACTGCAGGGCTGCCAAGATGTGTGGGTTCCGCTTTACTGGGCCGAGGCTGCACGTGTGAGATTTGTATTATGCAGAAGATTATCGATTATCCGGGGAGGGGGAGGAGGGGTGCTGTATTTTCATAAACGCCAGATAATCATTCATCATCATTATTTAAAATAGCTTATTTTTGCACATTCTTGGATGACATGTTTTTAGGTGTTGTATGTTTGTTTTTGTGTTTTAAATTAGTTTACTATGTCAAATTCGCATAAATAAACATACAAATAGACAACTAAATATCCTACTTTAAAAAGTGACTATGTACTTGTAGCGTACTTACAACTCCAATCTCGAAGACTCTCCATGGGGTGATGTATATATGTGCAGTATATTCATTGTTTACGTTGTATAAATGTAGTGTATAATGTATTGTATATAATATTTGACACTCAAATAAAGCGTAGCTACTTTTCTTTTTTATCACGCACACGGTGCCGACCGCCGGATAATGTTGGAAGCAGCCGGATAAATCGCACGGTGCCGGATAATCGATGATCGGCAATAACTCTTCGGGGATGGCATCTTGCTTGCGGAAATTATTTTTTTTAGGACCAACGACGGAAATTCCTTCTGTCATTTGGCTTGTTTGATCTGCGGAGTTTAGAGCCAGTGGCTTATGGAATGTACGTGCAATGCAGCAGGGGCTATTTAGTTGTACTTGTAACTGGCGATGAGGATTATGATTGCATCCAGGTCGTTTAGGTAGGAAATACAATCCGTGCTTCTATAACGCAGTGTGTTGTTTACATGACGCGAACTGGATACAATGCAACAAATGTATGAAGGAACGCATTTTTTTATACTGCGCATGCGAATTGTATATAACGCGATCGATTGAACTCACCGAGTTTGTAAGTGAACAAATTGCTTCAGGTCATTAACCAGATCATGAACTAGATAATGAACTAGAGCATTAACTAGGTAATTAACTCGATTATTAACTAGATAATGAACATAGATCATTAACTTCAGGGGTCGGCAACCTGCGACAAGGGAGCCGCATGTGGCTCTTTGGCTGCCCCCTTGCGGGCAGCCGTATATATTTTAAAAAATCTTAAACACAATTTTACGTAAAGATAACTGATTAAATATTACAGGGAATGGGGTCACAGTGGAATGTCTTGGTCACGACAAAATGTGCAACAGCCAAACTGTGTCGTACAAAAGAATAACTAAGGGGGACAAGAACTAAATAGACAACAGTTTATTCCCTCACCTATCCTGTTTGTTTAAGTCAGAATGTGTGTTGTCATCTGCTGTGTCTGTATGTGTACAAGTAGCTCTGCGTCGTGTGATGCATGGTGTGATGTGTGGTGTGATGCGTGGTGTGATATGGCTCTCGGAACTTTTGGTCAAAGACAAAAACAAAAAAATGGCTCTTATTCTTCTTTGGAAGTTTACTGACCACTGAACTCAGATCAACAACTGCAGCAACTTGGAAAAAAATACGAAGACCGCGGCCAGAAGAACGAGACACGGTGCATCGTACGGTTTGCACGCACAAGTGAAGAGGTCAACAGGGTGGTAACAGTGAACTGCAAGGCGGCGTGTAGAAAACAGACGTTCTTTGTCGTACTTGGTAGTTGTGGAGCGTCGGAAGATCCACGTGCATGTTTTTCACCGTTCCGTTGTGCCATTCGAACTGCGTCATTGCTTTCTGAAATGCACAAATGCGTTCCAGTGAACACGCACACACACACACGACCGTGCACACGCTGGCACGCAAAGGGGGCATTCCTGCCATCCTCGCATCACAACAAGTCACAGAGAAACGAGCCATCGCCAAAACGAGAACACGGACGCCCTGCTTGGTCGGCCGTATGGAGGCGTCCATCAATCTGACAGGCACGATCGCATCTCTATTCAATAATTAGTGTGCTTCTCACTTCACCATCTAGTATTGCTTTTATTGCATGCATGTACGTCTGTTGAACGTCTTTCGCACCATACGTAGCCAACCACGCTAATCGGAGGTGCGGGGGAAGGAAAGCAATACTAAACACAAAATACTGTTTTGAAAGTAATTTTTTGTCAATCTAGATTATTTAAAAGTGCGTAGCTCCCAGTGGCTTCCTAAAATCGGAAGGAAGAGCATTCCAGACGGCCGCAGAAGAGCATCTGAAAGCACCGCACAACGTCTTGTATGTGAAGTTTGTTTGCTCCACTGTCTCAAATGGAACATCAGATTATCACTTGCATATTAATTTCATATGTTGTAAATAATAGACTAAAAACTAAACTATTTAAAATTTTACGAGGTAGAGACCGCTGAGCTAAGCTGCTCTTTTTCAGATGCAACCTGGCTATCACAAATGAAAGCTCAACGGAAGTGGCTTATCACGTCGAAATGTATAGCAGCCAAATAATCTCAAGCACGTGATGTTGATTCTAAATGGGGAGGGAAAAACTGGAGGACCCGGAGAAAATTCACACGACCACGAGGAGAGAGACATGCAAACTGTAAATATACAGGCGTCAGGGTCATCTCGCCACCGCGGCGCCCTCGTTTACCACAAGCACTTTCCAGACGCGTTTTTTGAGCAATGCCTGTTAATGCTGTACGGTTTTCATAAAACACTACCTGTCAACCCCTTATAAGGAGTTATCAGTGTCTACCTTATAACAAACCAATTCAGACCTTATTGGTCACCCCGTGCCCTTATAAATCTCAACGTTCCTCATACAAAGTCCCATCACAAGGGAGAAACATTATTGGACGAAAAAATGTTGCCCGAATTGAAACGGCTGTCTACCGTATGGACCTGAAAGCTCAATTTCCCTGTACAAGAATACGGGCAAACAGTATGGGTTGACAGGTATTTATAAAACTGCTGGAGCAGTGCATCTATTGAGACACACATCGCAAGTATGCCACGTCATCATAACTGTTGATAAACAGCCTCGGGCAGACAATTTAGTCTGAGTCAACCTAGGCGAACTCCGTGCCAGTCCAAATGCCATACAGCAAATGCCACTGTCATGCATAGACAAGAATAGAACCAGGGTGGCTGCAGCAGTAGAAAAGTGGGATAACCATAACATCAGGTGACTAAAACATACATGCATATATTAGTTTATAGATACATATGTAAACACACATAAGCTCACATACACACGAAAAAACAACCCTAAGGCCTTAAAAGACTGTTGGAGCAAGTGCTATTAGCGAGTAGCACCTATGAAGACCGGCACGGCACACGTGTGGGTGGGTGGCCAAGCACCATGTCCGGCCGCCTTTGTTTCCCCAGTGGCGATGTTTACACATCGCACCAGGTCCTCGTTTTAGGCTGAGTCGACCTAGAGGAGGCCCAGGACCGGTTCAGATAATCGTCACCGGTGTTGGCTGTGAGCGGGAATCGAACTCGGATCGCCAAGTTCATAGCGCAGCACGCTAACCACTACACTACCACTCCCCACACAGACACACACACAAGGACACATGCATCTAACAGATGCATCCAATTACTAGGTTTAATTTTCTAAAAATAACTGAGTAAATGATTGCAACTTCACGGTTTTGTGTAAACTGTTATTTTAAGACGAGAAGTCTTTGGTCGTATGTTTAAGATTGGTGTGACTTGCTGGACATCTGTGAAACAAAGCTTCATAGCTCATCCGATTCCTCCTCCAGTCGAAATAACGATTCTTGTTCTGGTGTGTGTGTGTACATAGAGTGTCTGAGAAGCGGCTAGGGTGAGGATCTCATCGTGGTTTGTGTCGGGGGGGAGACGGGGAGAGGGGGGCAGATGGAGGGAGGGGGAGATGGGAGACGGAAAGATGGGAGATGGGGGGGTACAAGAGATGGCGGGGGAGACGGGGGGGAGGAAGACAAGAGATGGGGGGAGACGGGGAGACAGGAGGGGAGACGGGGAGACAAGGAGACGGGGAGATGTGGGCGGGATGTGACGACTGGGAGACGAGGTGAGGGGGTGCTCACTGCGTGCACGGTGGCTGTGACACTCTTCTGCAGGATCGGCACGAACCCGTGCCGCGTGGAGAACGCGTTGGGCGCCAGCACCTGGTACAGGCCCAGCTTCTGCCCTGTGGAACAAGAGCCACGGCTTAGGGATTCCCTCCCATCATATCTCTTCCCAAGCCCCCTGATAACCTTACTCTGCTTGAAGAAACACGTTCCCGCTCTTATACGTTACAGCTCTGACAGTGCCGTAACGTATGCTGGTCGCTTGACTTCTTCAAATGTGATGAAAAACACATTAAATGTACACAACACACGGTCTCATATTCTATGGATAACATACAACAGCTCATCACACAAACGGTGGCATTGAAGCTCGTTATATTTCAGACGTCGCCCATGCGGGGTTATGTAAATGTGTGCTGTTGCTGTCGCCAGCGAGTTTTGATGACTTGGTTATCAAGAAATTATTATCCGCCAGAGCTGGTTCGCGTCCTCATGCAAAGTGCGTAAATAGCACATAATGAATCAAGGCGCAGTTAACACATTCCAAATCTTAAGATCAATCGTATTCCGCATCGAGTTATCGTTCTTTGTTCTGTCGCCGTTAAAGCAACGATTAAAAAATAAAATGTGCATGAGTGTCCTATAAAAGTATTGAGGGAATTGCATGGGAGAGACTTCTCACTCATCCCACATTAAAAATGAGCCAAACTCTCACAGGCCAGCGAACGGCATGATCGCGGCGATTTGACATTTTAGCTTCTCACCTGCAGGACGCTTGGCATGTCTGCATGCATCCGTTCGATAGCTGCTGCCACTGAAGACTGCCCAACAGAATTCAATTCCGAGGCCAATCTGATTTTTATATCAAGCTTTTTTGCAAAAAAGCCCATGGATAAATCTTCACTGTGCAGTCGTGACTGTCGCATTATAGGAATACGTTGTCAGGCGCAGATTCTGCCAAGTCGTCCAGTTACCGGCCAAATGCTGTACGGCCACATTTATCACAGCTAATTAAATGGTGAGGAGTGATTCTTAAATTGGTATCAGTCCAAATTCAATAAAACGATGATTGGATGTGGTTACTTTTGCAACATCTCACAGTTTAACGATGTCAGAGATTTGTTGAGTCATGCTCTTTTGTTGCGGAATGTCTGTGCAGCCCATGAGAGGAGTTGCAATCTGTACACAGGAGGCTGGTACTGTTCGTTTGTAACAATTTGTAATTGGTTGGCATGCATGTCGCGTGCTAAAGAACGCTATGCATTCATCACTAACACCCTGCCTTAATAGAAAACAAATACTGTATGTATCTAAGATAATAGGCCCTTCTTCATGGCATACAGAGAAGCCTGAGAATGGATACAAGAAACAATTATTCTGATAATCAATTTTTAAATTGGAATAAGAATAATTACCTAATCGTAGCTATTGGGTAAAAGACAAACCCTTCAATAATCAAAAAAGTATTACCTTACTAAATCAAAGTAAGGTAATAAACATTTGCTTCCACAGCGCCAAAGAGACGCAAAGGTCAATTTCAAATTTGAAAGGGTGGCGGCAGGTGGGGGTGACTCTCCTCGTGGCTAGGAGGAGTTGACTACCTCGCCTGTTATGCAGAAGGTCGTGGGTTCAATCTCGACCCTGACACCTGTTGTATATTTGGAGTTTGCGTGTCTCTCTCCCCGCGTATATTTTTATCCGGATCCTTGGGGTTTTTTATCCACATTTGGAATCAACATCACGCGTTTAGAGTACTTGGCTGCTATAAATTTCCACACTTCTTTGAGCTATCATTAGTGGCCAGGTCCACTTTTGAAAAGTATAGCTCAGTGGGCCTTACCTGGTAAAAAATATATAGTTTTGAGTGAATTTCCCAGGGCGGATGATGCTTTGGGGTAGCTCGACCCGCAGGGTTCCACTGCTTCTGTGAGCATCACAAACGTGGAACCACGATTCGGGACGGAATTTCGATTTAAAGCTTTCGTGACTGCAATGATTCATCTTCTTTGGTTCTTTCGGTAAAGTCACATAGAATGAGAATAAAATAATAAATTGATAAAATAAAATAACACAATAATATTCTCACGACGTTTCGGCCACAACACAAGCGGCCTACCAGACAGTCTCGTCCCTTCACCTGATGAAGGTCGCTTGTGTTGTGGCCGAAACGTCGTGAGAATATTATTGTGTTATTTTATTTTATCAATTTATTATTTTATTCTCATTCTTCGGGACGGAATCTTTTGATGATCCCACCTCTGTCTGCAAGGTGGGACATCATTTCTGGCTAAAACAACGACCGGGTCGTTTCCCTCTTAAGAATCTCAGAATGGGTCTTTGACATGTACATATATGTCTACTTTTAACAACGTACACTTCATGTAACATACATTTTATATTTGTATTCGTGAGAATGGGAAGTCCTATGAAAATTAGTTTTTATTCCATTTATTTTTGTTATCGCAGTTGCTTAGCACACGTGCAAAGGTCCAAAACGTCAAACAGCCAGTAACGAACGGCACTGTTGAAGTTGTAATAGATGAGAGTTAACTCGTTTCTTGAAGTGAGCGACGTTATGGTAATTGGCAGAAACACGGAATCAGTACCTGATACTCCTAAAATATAAGTGAGCAAGTCTGATGCCTACGTGTGATGTAGAGTATTTTTACTCACGATGTAAACGATTATAAATGTTGCTAAATTTAATGTTATCGATATTTTGTAGATCTCTAAAATAAATCCGTTTGTGTGGAGGTGCTGGATGGATTGTTGCAGGATCGTGGGAGGTGGCATCAGCTCAGGGAGGCCTTCATCCAGCAGTGGACTGGTCATGGCTGATGATGATGACGATAATGAAAATACTACATATTCTCTGCACACTGAGATAAACATAATGTACATGCATTGTGTATGTTGATTAACTGTGAATAACCCAACCAATAATAGGTACTGCATTTTCTCAGGTGAACATGATCCATTGTAACTTATATGACCACATTAACCCCCTTCTGGTCTTCACACCTGATAGGCCCACAGTAATGACATCTCATTTACCTCCCACCTCTATATAAGACCGAAACAGGAGGATTTCTCCACAATTCTGGCTGTCACCTGATGAAGCTGGTTGTTGTTGAAATCACTGGTGAAACGTCACGGTTACTCGAATTGTAAATGTTGTTGTGGGGTTTACTCTTCAACACACAACCGTTGTGGTGCTGAACTAGTAACTAATCCGCGCGTTTTGTTTACATGACAAACCTCACCGATTGGCTGCGTCGGGTGGCGGCGGGTTTAACGACACATTTATCACTTACGCGATCTAACCACGACACATTTTGCAACTGCGCCACAAGATCATCCCGAAGGTAGGTTTCGCTTCGAGAGAGTCGCGCAGAGCCCCCACCCTGTTCCTCACCCTTGAGACCGTGCCGCTGAAGCCACTGTACCGAGGTACTGGGCAGGAAGGTGGCGGCCGGTGCCAGGACGAGGGGACTCTCGTGGCCGGGCGGCCGTGGCAGCGAGCGCGATGCTGGCAGCCGCTCCGCCTCCAGGGATACCTGCAACAAAGCGGTGCCCTCTCCATGCTCAAATCAACTCCACGCAAAATCGATCCACGGAAAGAAATAAAAAAAGTATACACCGTCGTCGTGGCTCAAAGCCGTCGGTGCACGTGGCGTAGCTTAGCGTGGGGTGGCAGACAGGCAGGCGAGGAAGGTGCCTTGCCCCCCCCCCCCCCGCCAGTCACACCGGTGGCCAAAGCTACGAGTTGAGGGGGGGCCCTCCTTGACGACCACCACCGGTGAGATTTGTTCTCAACAACAGTGTCAAAGATTTAATTTACATTGGACGTTTTATTTGAATGTAATTATAGAGCTGTAACGTTAATATTGCAAAGAGGTACTACTGCTGCTACGGAGCTGTCGCGGCTGTATTTTGCGAGAAACGGGAGCGCCCCCAGCGGCGTTAAATATTCGAGACCGTCAGCTTAATGACGATGCGTTTGGGGCAAGAGGAGGCCGCGATGTATAATAGCCTCTAGGTGCCAAGTGACAAATGTACAGGCGCACCTCACTTTATTGTGCTTCGCTATAATTGCGCTTTTTTAAAATGTCGGATCTCAATATAAATGTCGCATCTCAAGATTCTCAACTTAGCAAGAGAATAAGATTCGATTAATAATTACGTACGTACGACATTTACAATCTGATTGGCTTATCATCATCTGCAACTCTCGCTTTTTGCATGTGAACTTAGCGAGTCAGTAGGCGTAATTTAAACTTTTCTATTTATTTACGTGCATCGTTTAGTTAGGCATACTGTAGCTGCATTGCGCGTTGAATATAGTGTAGTTTAAACATGTTTTAAGGCTTTTATATGCATTCGCAGGTGAAAAAAAGCATTTCAATCGCTTTATTGCTATTTTCGGTTTATTGCGGTACGCCTGTATGTATGTTCAACTTCATTCACACCGTACGTAGTCAACCACCCCCGCTGAGCTGATGTCGTTACAGCTGCGCCACTGCATTGATGCCACCACACGTCGCTACCAACGCTCTCTACCCTCTGCCAGATCCCATGGCTGCTCTGCAGTCGGCACACAGCCTCCACAATATGCCCTGACAGCCTCCCATCATCTGGCCTGAGGTGTTCACGGAGATCACTCCAATGCCTGTATCGCATCCCACCAAGCGCTACCGTACATACGTGTGTATATGTTGAACTTCACGATACAAGTTGGTGAAAACGGGGGGGGGGGACATAGATGTATGGGGATAGTACAGTAAAACAATGGATTTTATTGTGATGCCCTCTGATGACAATGCTGTTCCACATCAGACCTACAGCACCCATATCATGTGTGGTGGTCACCCAATCAAGCACTATCCAGCCTGAACCCTGCAAAGCTTCTGAGATCCTATGAAACTGGGTGCATTCTGAGTGATCTGGTCACAGTGAGAGTACATCATTTTTAGGATCCTTCAGCAGGCGTTCTCAGCTCTCGAAAAAGTGGCACTCACCTGTTGCATGATGCTAACGATGGTCTCTCCCAGAATCCCTTGCCGCATCTCTCTAATCTTTCCCAGGATGTCCATCGCAGTCTGAGACTCCTGCACGAGCAACTTAATGTCTGTGCTGCTGTACATCGCCTCCTGTTGAAGCAGAATCGATGCGGCGCACGCACGTGGCACACATTGAGCGTTTCTCTCTTGCTCACAAAAACGAACATTGGTGACACCACATTTGGCAGTGGTGCGCAGTGTCTCAAAAAACCCAACACATTCGTCAAAAGAACACTGTGTTTCCAAGGAAACAAGTATATATCATTCATAAGAGGTGTTTGTTGGGTTAGATCGCGTAATTATAAATGTGTCATTAAACACCGCCACCACCATCCGACGCAGCCAATTAGTGAGGTTTGTCAGGTCAACTAAACGTGGTCAATCTGTTACTAATTCAGCACTACCCAGTTGTATGTTGAAGAGTAAATCAACTACAATATTGACAATTCGATTAACCATGACGTTTCGCCAGTAATTACAACCAGCCTCATCAGGCGACATCCAGATTTGTGGATAAATCCTCCTCCTGTTTCGGTCTAAGATAGAGGGGGGATAAATGTGATGTCATCGATGTGAGCCAATCAGGTGCAAACAGCAGAGGGGGGGCGGGGGGGGGGTTAATGTAGTTATATAAATTATAATGGATCTCTATTATTAGTTGGGTTATTCATACTCGAATTGTAAATGTTGTAGTGGGTTTACTCTCCAACACACAACCGGTTAGTGCTGAACTAGTAACGAATCGGCATGTTTTGTTTAAGTGACAAACGTTACTTATTAGCTGTGGCGGGTGGTGAACATGGGGACATGTTCATATTTACGCGATGTAACTAAAAAAAAACTCTATTATTAATGCTATTTATAGCAGTTGATGTGTCGAGTCGGGCAGTGGCCCTTCATCACTCGCTGTGGGTAAAGTGACTTGATGCCTTGCAGACTTGATGATGCCTTGTAATAGGTGTTGCCTGGGGTCTCTGAACATCTTAACATGTCCTGTTTTATTTCCAAAAAGGGTAAAGCCTATAATTATTATTGTTTCACCATTGTGATACTGGCAAAAAGCTCCCATAGATATCCAGTTCTGTAAAAAAAAAAATATTCAGAGCCTGCCTTTAACACCAAAACCAAACTTTTTGCAGAAAATAAAACCCCTTATAAATAGACCAACGCTTCATCTAGCCTATGGAACCCTTTTTTTACACTATCAAGATGATGAAAAAAATAACAGGCTTTATCCTTTCCGGCAACAATCCAGGAGGTGTGAAGATGTTCACACACCAAATAGACACCTATTTTGCAAGACATCAAATCCACATTGCGGCCGACTGTGGTGTAGGCCAATCAGTTTAAAGGACAACGCGTGCATTACTGATGCATGTTTGTTCACATAATTTACCACTTGATGCCTTGCAATAGGTGTGTCTATTTGGTGATTGAACATCATGACACCTCCTGTATTATTGCTGGAAAGGATGAAGCCTATTATTTGTATTATCATAATCTTCATCTAGTCTCTCTATATAAGGATAATCAGGCTATCCTTGAAGGCACACCAAAAGGATTCTCCCTGTATTTATATTCTGTATCTTTTTTTTACACGTAAGAACGTGCAATGGTAAATGGACATGTTTATGGTACACCGGTGCAGCATAATAATACACTGGTCCTCATAAAGCAGTCTTACGATGTCGCTGTTGCCCCCTGAGTGAGCTGCAGGACTCTCCGTCAGACGTTGTCACATTCAGATTCAGCAGCCGTTTTTCCCATTCGAACGCGTGGCGGTGACATCACCGCCACGAGTCATAATAATGTGATGCCACCGTCCGCCCAAGAAAATGAATCAAGGAATGACCATCAGACCAAGTCTAGGGCACGAGGAGTCAAATCTTTTGTCTTTGGAACATGGAGCCAGCCAATCGTCATCAGGGCTGGGTGCTGCTATATGGCAACAGGTCGTGTGAAGCTTCGTGTTACAGCCGGTCATGTAAACATTCGTCTTGCCACCGCTTCGGCATCACGAGAACCGATGTTGATGCAGTAAGGGGTTGTGAATCGCGGGAAAAGAAATATTTATTGCAACAACAAGAAGGTATTTCACGCACCACCGCCGGTGTACCACCAAATAAGTTCAAATGTAACTTTGACGTTTTGGAATTTACCAATGGATTTTTTGTGTTCGGACCGGTGAGCACAAGCGCTGTTTGTGAGCAGAGCCCGAGTGCTGGGGAACGCAGAAGTGTACGGCGATGATAAGCCACTCTGTTGAGCTACTATCGTTTGTGGCCAGGTTGCTTCTGAAAAATAATTTGATAACTCAGCGGTCTTTGCCTCCAGGATGAGGGATGGCTTAGTTTTATTTTTATGTGTTGGGTGATTTGTTTTATCTTTCTTGTACTCTGCACTATTGTAGTGTTTATAAATTGTTTGTTGTAATGTTCTGACCCTGTGCCCCTACTGAACATCTGTGAAAAAAATCTTTATAGCTCATCGGATTCCTCCAGTATAAATACATTTTTTATTCTGATCACCTGACTGCCAGAGCTGTAACAGTGGTACCGGCCTCCTGTCATCTTGGCCAACCGTCCCAGCAGCGTCTGCAAGCAAATCATCACGAATCACGAGTGTTAGGTTTTAAAAAAACGCGAGACAAAAATCGGTCCACCCTTGATGCTTAAAAATCACGCCACCCCTTCTGGATCGCAGCAACGGCCTCACTCCACGCCACAAACACAAAGGAATGCGAGAAGTGGAAGTGAGAGTCTGTACTGCGACTGACATCAAAGAGAATCATGTAATGCAGGACACTTTGACCATCGAACTTCCCAGCTTTAACCTTCCACGCCACCAATGGTCGACCATCGACAGAATCGGGACCGGGCGTGTGGCCGATGCGGCCAGCCGATGCACAAATGGCACCGTCAAAGATTTGGCGGCCTGCGAGCGGTGCGGCAAACGAATCTCAAACCATCGACCGCCATCATAAACACTCCGCCGCTGCCGCTGCTGCTGTCTTCACTCCTTTAAAAGAGGAATGGACGAGATCCACTCTTGCATCTGAACAGGAAACTGAGTGGATAGCAACATCTACAATTACATCTTTTAATCTGCCGCTATTAATCCATACAAAAGAAGAAGAGTTTAAATTGATAGTGGCGACGATGCAAACACCGGTTTAAGGAATGCTCCCTCTTTCCAGAAATGAATTATTAATTGCACTTCATCTAATCCGTGTGTCTCTCCATGTTAGGAAATGTATCTGTGTCGTAATTATCTAACCTTATAAAGATTTATATATAGCACCTAATTCCGAGGAGCTTCACAACGCGCTGTAGAACGATTATAAAATTTTACGTAAGATGATCGTGATTGAAATCAATATAGGGGTTATTAAAAGTCGGGGTGTAGTTATGGTGACAGGAGAACAGGTGGGAGTGGTAAAGGGAGGGTTGGGGTAGTAATAGCGGTAGTGCTAGCAGTTGGGATAGTGACAGCGGTTGGGATAGTGATAGGGGTTGGGATAGTGATAGGGGTTGAGATAGTGATAGCGGATGGGATAGTGATAGGGGTAGTGATAGGGGTTGGGGTAGTGATAGTGGTAGTGATAGGGGTTGGGGTAGTGATAGAGGTTGGGGTAGTAATAGGAGTTGGGGTAGTGATAGGATTTGGGGTAGAGGTCGGGGTAGTGATAGGGGTCAGGGTAGTGATAGGGGTTGGGGTATTTATAGGGGTAGTGATAGGGGTTGGGGTAGTGATAGAGGTTGGGGTAGTAATAGGAGTTGGGGTAGTGATAGGGTTTGGGGTAGAGGTCGGGGTAGTGATAGGGGTTGGGGTAGTGATAGGAGTTGGGGTAGTGAGAGAGGTTGGGGTAGTAATAGGGGTTGGGGTAGCTATAGGGGTTGGGGTAGTTATAGGGGTAGTGATCGGGGTCAGGGAAGTAATAGGAGTCGGGGTGGTGATAGGGGTTGGGGAAGTGAAAGGGGTTGGGGTAGTGATAGGGGTTGGGGTAGTGATAGGGGTTGGGGTAGTGATAGGGGTTAGGGTAGTGATAGGGGTTGGGGTAGTAATAGGAGTTGGGGTAGTGATAGGGGTAGTGATAGGGGTAGTGATAGGGGGTTGGGGAAGTGATAGGGGTTGGGGTAGCGATAGGGGTTGGGGTAGCGATAAGGGTTGGGGTAGCGATAGGGGTTGGGGTAGCGATAGGGGTTGGGGTAGCGATAGGGGTTGGGGTAGTGATAGGGGTTGGGGTAGTGATAGTGATAGGGGTAGTGATAGGGGTTGGAGTAGTGATAGGGGTTGGGGTAGTAATAGGAGTTGGGGTAGTGATAGGGGTTGGGGTAGTGATAGGGGTTAGGGTAGTGATAGGGGTTGGGGTAGTAATAGGGGTTGGGGTAGTGATAGGGGTTGGGGTAGTGATAGGGGTAGTGATAGGGGTTGGGGAAGTGATACGGGTTGGGGTAGCGATAGGGGTTGGGGTAGCGATAGGGGTTGAGGTAGTGATAGGGGTTGGGGTAGCGATAGGGGCTGGGGTAGTGATAGGGGTTGGGGTAGTGATAGGGGTTAGGGTAGTGATAGGGGTTGGGGTAGTGATAGGGGTTAGGGTAGTGATAGGGGTTGGGGTAGTGATAGGGGTAGTGATAGGGGTTGGGGAAGTGATAGGGGTTGGGGTAGCGATAGGGGTTGGGGTAGCGATAGGGGTTGGGGTAGTGATAGGGGTTGGGGTAGCGATAGGGGTTGGGGTAGTGATAGGGGTTGGGGTAGTGATAGGGGTTGGGGTAGTGATAGGGGTTGGGGTAGTGATAGGGGTTGGGGTAGTAATAGGAGTTGGGGTAGTGATAGGGGTTGGGGTAGTGATAGGGGTTAGGGTAGTGATGGGGGTTGGGGTAGTAATAGGGGTTGGGGTAGTGATAGGGGTTGGGGTAGTGATAGGGGTAGTGATAGGGGTTGGGGAAGTGATAGGGGTTGGGGTAGCGATAGGGGTTGGGGTAGCGATAGGGGTTGAGGTAGTGATAGGGGTTGGGGTAGCGATAGGGGTTGGGGTAGCGATAGGGGTTGGGATAGCGATAGGGGTTGGGGTAGTGATAGGGGTTGGGGGAGTGATAGGGGTTGGGGCAGTGATAGGGGTTGGGGTAGTGATAGGGGTTGCGGTAGTAAAAGGGGTTGGGGTAGTAATAGGGGTTGCGGTAGTAATAGGGGTTGGGGTAGTGATAGGGGTAGTGATAGGGGTTGGGGTAGTGAAAGGGGTTGGGGTAGTGATAGGGGTTGGGGTAGTGATAGGGGTAGTGATAGGGGTTGGGGTAGTGATAGGTGTTGGAGTAGTAATAGGAGTTGGAGTAGTAATAGGAGTTGGGGCAGTGATAGGGGTTGGGGTAGTGATAGGGGTTGGGGTAGTGATAGGGGTTGGGGTAGCAATAGGGGTTGGGGTAGTGATAGGGGTAGTGATAGGGGCTGGGGTAGTGATAGGGGTTGGGGTAGTGAAAGGGGTTGGGGTAGTGATAGGGGTTGGGGTAGTGATAGGGGTTGGGGTAGTGAAAGGGGTTGGGGTAGTGATAGGGGTTGGGGTAGTGATAGGGGTTGGGGAAGTGATAGGGGTTGGGGTAGCGATAGGGGTTGGGGTAGCGATAGGGGTTGGGGTAGCGATAGGGGTTGGGGTAGTGATAGGGGTTGGGGTAGTGATAGGGGTTGGGGTAGTGATAGGGGTTGGGGTAGTGATAGGGGTTACGGTAGTAATAGGGGTTGGGTTAGTGATAGGGGTAGTGATGGGGGTTGGGGTAGTGATAGGGGTTGGTGTAGTGATAGGGGTTGGGGTAGTGATAGGGGTTGGGGTAATAATAGGAGTTGGGGTAGTGATAGGGGTAGGGGCAGGCCTGGTCATAGCTTGGGGGTAGGGAGTAGCAGTAGCAGCAGGATGATGATGCTGGGCTAGGATAGAAGCGATGGGGGTTGTTTTAAGGGAGGAATGGAAGCAGGTTAGATAACACTGCGTCTATTTGGAAGCAACTTGTGTTTGACACCAGTAGCCATTAATTAGCGTGTGACAAGACCAAGCGATAATTCCTTGAGGCTACGGCGTGGAAGAGCGACTGGGCGAGCGGGCGAGCAACCGAGTGGGTGAGGATGCGAGCGACCGAGCCTGCAAGTGACTGAGCGACTGAGTGGACAAGCGTGCAAGCATGCGACTGAGTGGACGAGCCTGCAAGTGACTGAGCGACTGAGTGGACAAGCGTGCAAGCATGCGACTGAGTGAATGAGTTGCAAGCATGCGACTGAGTGGATGAGCGTGCAAGTGACTGAGCGACTGAGTGGACGAGCGTGCAAGCATGCGACTGAGTGGACGAGCGTGCAAGTGACTGAGCGACTGAGTGGACGAGCGTGCGAGCATGCGAGCGTGCGGCACCTGGGCGTCGTGGCTGCTGCAGTCGAAGGCCACCGTATGAAAGGGCAGACTCCTGCCCAGCAGACTCTCCTCCACGTAGCCACACACCAGCTCGGGACTCTGGTCAGGGCTGCCAAAATAAGTAATATTTTAAAAACTTTTTTTTAAAACATGCTTTAATGAAATGTACCGTACTAGTAATGGAAGAACTCCACGACTCCAGGAAGTGGCCCCGAAGCTTGCCACAACGTAAGGGACCGTGGTGAATTACAGCCAACGCCAGTTGAGCGTGGACAATTAGACCCAAACATAACATATAAAAAATCATGTTTAAACATTTCTATTTTTTATTTTTTATGAGAGAATATAGTATTGTCATCAGTATGACATAAGTATACCAAGTTTGCAGTCGATACCACATTGGGAAGTGGGTAAAAATTGAGTTGCAATATTTGATACAACAGAGTGAGTTAATAAAAAGTGTGTAATAAGCCCTTCTTAGCGGTGGCAAAAAGCGAGAGTGAGAAAGTTTTGTGACGCTGCTGCTGCGCTGCGTTCGCGTTGGCAGAGGTGCACAAGCACAATTAACACAAAAACAAACCAACACGTCCGTCAAAAAACACTGCGGCCTTAAATGGAAATATATATAGTCGGTGACGTTTTATGCAGTAGGTCCTTAATCACACATATGTTGAGGTGCAAATGACGACGCGGAGGCAGGTCTTCAGGTAAGGGCTTGCGCCGGTTATTTATTAAGGGTTTAGATAACTTCCCCAAGGGTAGGGGTCCTATACTGGGTCCTTCACACTCGATCTGTTCTTAGCTCGGTTAGCTCCAGGGTGCTCTCCCTCGAGTCGGATCGGGGGTTCAGCCAACACCGACCGACCGGGGAGAGCAGCACCTCCTGTGACTGCCGCCGGCTTCTCTCCAGACTCCTTGAGCTCTACCCCTGGCTGCCTCTTCGACCGTTCTCTATCCCGGGCTCCCAGTGACCTCGCTTTCGTCACGGGGTCCCACTTAAGTACCTAGAGGAGACATTACGTCATCGCCCTGCCCAGCGAACATGGTGTCACGTCCCATGACGTCATCGCACTGGACAGTGCACATGACGTCACGTCCCCATATTACTCTACACATAAATAAAATGAAATGAGAATATTCGTAAGCTGAGGAAGGGCTGTAGCCCGAAATGTCACCTATTATATATTTTCTTTTTCCTTTTAAAGGACAGTGTTATTGACAACATGTATTGAGCTTCAAGCGACAGCTACAAAAATCAGTCTATATTGCTCATGCATCAAATTGGCAATATACACCCTGTTTAAAACTATTTTTGAGTTTATGCACATTCATATTACTATTGTGGTGTTCGATTTGACTTGGACAACTTCTGTCTTTCTTCGAACACCGCTTTATTTACAACTCTCAGCATGTCCTCCACATTCCACAATATCCAGGTCGCCACGGCTCGCTCGCAGTGCTTCACTCGACTCGCTCGCCACCTTTGTCTCTCCACTCCCCACGATTACTTCGCTTATTCCGCCGCTAACTTCTTCGTCTCCGCTCTCCGCTATCACCGTCACTATGCTCTCTCCACCTTCAACTTCCTCACCCAGCGACTCCGCACACAGCGACTTCGCACACAGCGACTTCACACACAGCGTCTTTGCACTCAGCAACTCCACCCTTCAACTCTTAACTCCAACTCTGTCTCTCAAACTCTGTCTTCCAAGCTCTGTCTCTCAAACTCTGTCTTCAAAAACTCTCCACACTTCAACTCATCTCCAAGCTCTCCGCTCTTCAACCTCTCTCCAAGCTCTCCACCATTCAACCCATCTGCAAGCTCAACTCCCTTCAACTCGACTCCGACTCCCGCTCTTATACCCGCTCTCATTACACCCCCAATTAATTAACCCGCGTTCCAACGGCGCTCCGCGTGACCGTCACCTGTTTCTCGCTAGACTTCTAGACGCCTCTCCAGCCCCGGCAACAGCACCAACCAATCACAGCCGTCCACGGCTCTCCCAGCTTAATTTCCCCAACATAACCTGCACTGTATTCGCCTTCGCTACAGGCTGACCCAAGATAACCCATACTGTCTGTGTGATCATGTAATCACGCCGCCTCCACAACGCACCTTTGTACTCCACTACACTATGAATCATTTTAAAAAGTAATTTTAGCTGGCTTTCGTAACAAAAAAATGCACGAGTAGTATGTAAAACAAATGAGAATAACTTGTCACTATAGTTTAACACGTAGGCTTTAGCGACCAATATTATTCATACCACCATGGCTACTGTTGCCGTAAACTTCACTCAGGAGGACTCAGGTCTCCAGCATGACCGTTTCATCTCATCCACCACACTGCAGGTCACAGTAACACACTCACTCAACCACTCACTCACCCACTAACTCAACCACTCACTCACTCATCCACTCACACACTCACTCAACCACCACACTGCAGGTCACAGTAACACACTCACTCAACCACTCACTCACTCACCCACCCACTAACTCAACCACTCATGCACTCAATCCCTCACTCACCACACTGCAGGTCACAGCAACACACCCACTCACTCGTCCACTCACATACCCACTCACTCGACCACTCACTCACCCACTCACTCGACCGCTCACCTATTCTTCGTCTTATTCCCTCATGCTGCTCCCCTCCCATCATCTCTCTTTCCCAAGCTCTGTTTAACCTTGCTCGATTAAAACACAACGTGTAAACTGCTTCTCTATTACAGTTCTGGTGATGCTGTTTATTGCTAGTCTATTGACGTGTTGGGCCCTGTGATCTGCGACCGTGTGAATAAAACACACGCACACACAAGTAAGACAAAGACCCCCGTATAGCCTGTAACAGACTGTTGGGGCACGTGCTGTTAGCGAGCACCTATGAAGGCCAACACGAGGGGGTGGGTGGCCAAGACCACGCCCGGCGGCCTTTGTATATCCAGTGATGTTTACACATTGCACCAGGCACTCATTTGAGTTAACCCAGGGAAGGCCCAGGACCAGCTAAGATAATCGTCACTGGTGTTGGCCATGAGCGGGAATTTAACCCGGGTCGCCAGGTTTGTCATGCAGTGCGCTAACCACTATCCACCGTTCCCCATGAGGAAATAAAATACACACACACACACGAGTTGAGGAAGTAAGCCGAGTACAGTTAAACCACTCTCCCTGCGCGGGTTTTGGATTCGCGAGTTTCACATACAGGGACTCCTCTACTTACGAACATTCGACTTACGAACTTTCAGAGATACGAACCTGTCCCATATGTCCAGCTGCCTGTTCGGACCGAGAGTCAACCGCCACGCATTAGGTGGTGGTGGTTTTTCGGTGTCAAGCACCGGCTTGGTTTGAATCTTAGGACTCAAACACTGAAAGGTTTGCTAAGGTGTCGGCAGCTGTTCACGATTCTATTTCCTGTTACAAATTGATTTGTGAAGAGAAGAAGAGAGCAACTATTGCAGACATCTCTTGGTAAGTTTTTCAGAGTACAGAGGAAACACAAGCACCAAGGGGAATTAACATCTACATCTGCAGAACATGAATAACCAGTGGCATCTACATCTGCAGAACATGAAGAACCAATGGCATCTACATCTGCAGGAGATTATACACATTTTAAAGCCATTCCCCATATTTTGTGTACATACAGTACATGTTTGGAATCGACGGGAGTAAAGTTGGACTTATGAACAAATCGACTGACGAACTGACGTCTGGAACCTAACTCGTTCGTAAGTAGAGGAGTCCCTGTATTCACAAACTGCCACACTCGCCCTCGTGTATTCGACGGGAGAGTATTGCTCGCCTCAGTGGGGACGCAGCGCTCACACTCGAGTTATCGACACGCAACTGAACATCGCGATGCATGCCATCTCAGGTACATTGAAGTCGACGCCGACCCAGTGGCTCCCAGTGATCATTCGCATCGCTCCACCGCAAGTCCATCGTGAAACAGTGGCCGTCTGTTAACCAACGACATTACTCGATTGGGATCACACGTGCATCGCAGGCCAGGTGCCGAGTCACCTTCGTGGACACGCAGAGACGGCTGTCGCTGAGAGCAACCTTTCAAAATGAGGTGAGATAAGACATTTTTCAACGGTTTTACTTAATGTGATTCCTCTGTTGTGGTCAAATCTTGTAATAAAAATTTCGTCCACTCCCCGTTGTCCAATCAATTTCCATTTTGCACACGTACTCAGATCCGGTGGCAATGCATGCCTGTGTAGTGGTCGACTTGACACGGACAACTTTCTCGTTTTCTCCGACACCACTTTTATTACAACTCTTCACATTACCTCTGTGACTCCGTTATTCCGCTTAGCCGCAGCTCGCTCGCCGCGCTCCGCCCGTCTCGCTCACTCCGCTTCCTCCCCTATCCCTCACTGTCCCTCTGCGTCGTCCCTGTCTCTCTCTGTCGCTCGCTGTCTCTGTCTCCCGCTGTATCTCCGTCTCTCTCCTGCTGTCTCTGTCTCTCTCTGTCTCTCTCTGTCTCACGCTGTATCTCTGTCTTTCTCCCGCTGTCTCTGTCTCTCTATGTCTCTGTCTCACGCTGTATCTCTGTCTCTCTCCCATTGTCTCTGTCTCTCTGTCTCTGTCTCACGCTGTACCACGGTCTCTCTCCCGCTGTCTCTGTCCCTCTCTGTCTCTCTCTGCTTGTCTCTGCTTGTCTCCGCTTCTCTGTCTCTCTGCTTCTCTCTGCTTGTCTCGGCTTCTCTGTCTCTCTCTGCTCTACTGCTAGCCTGTTTTGCCTCCTGTGTCTTCGCTCCGGTTCTCCCCGACCTGCTTCGTTCCAGTCCCAGCGACAACTCCACTCGTTCTTCCCGTCTCCCGAATATATCCCCGTTCTCATTACCAACCAATTAATTAGGCCGCGTGCCACCGACGCCCCGCGTCCCCCTGCACCTGTTATTTGCCCCCTCTATTCCCAGACATTCCGGCGCCACCTCGCCCTTGACAACAACCCCAGCCAATCAAAGCCGGACATCGCTCTCCAGGTTAATTGGCCCGTCATTATTGCACAGTTCCCCGCCGCCACGCCTGGCCGGCCCGACGTAACTCCACTGTCCATAACTCGCGCGTCTTTACCATTCCCCCCCT